CTACTACACTGGCGTGGGGTACACACCCACAGAACTTGGTCACTTATTCGGGGCGCGCGTGTGCCCAGCATCCTGCAATTGTGACATACAATACATGACACAGACAGACAGAGAGAGAGACAGAGAGCAGACAGAGAGAGAGACAGAGAGAGCGGAGTTGGTCACATTTTTGGGGCAAGTTCCTGAGATCGTCGTGTTTTTTGTTGGTCTTGCGCGCGCGAATGTCCACTTTACTTTTTTTTTGCAAGGGAGTATTGAAATTTGATTATGTTAGAACAAGAAAAAGTAGCTCGCGCGAGCTCATGTAACATAAATGTTGAAAAACCATTGGTTTTGTGGGAGTCGGACAGCGCGCGCGGGATGAAATTTGGACATTTTTTTTTGAAAAACCATTGGGTTTTTGATGTTTTTATGTTGAAATCGTTACGAAACCTAAGGTTCTGGAAGGATTTCGTCTTGCGCGCGCGAATGTCCACTTTACCTTATTTTTTGCAAGGGATTATTGAAATTTGATTATGTTAGAACAAGAAAAAGTAGCTCGCGCGAGCTCATGTAACATAAATGTTGAAAAACCATTGGTTTTGTGGGATTCGGACAGCGCGCGCGGAAGGACATTTTGACAATTTTTTCTTAAAAAACCATTGGGTTTTTGATGTTTTTATGTTAAAATCGCTACGAAACCTAAGGTTTTGGAAGGATTTCGTCTTGCGCGCACGAATGTCCACTTTACCTTATTTTTTGCAAGGGATTCTTGCAATTTGATCAAGTAAGAACAAGAATTTTCATTTTCTATTGTTTTTTGCAAGGGAAAACGAGCGTCAACAAAAAACCGGATCCGGAGCTCATCCACTTTTCTGAAGCTTTCGCGAAAAAATGATGAAAATGTAGCTGCGGCCTAGGCGCGGCGCAGAGGTCGCGCACCAGGGGTCCCAACAATAATAATTCTTTAGAAGGAATAATGTTCAACAACAACAACAACAGCATCAACATCAACAACAACAATATGTGTTACCCTCACGCGCGATGTTTCCACACGAAGCATGCGACCATCATGAAAACCATCCACATAATGGGGAACTCTTGTTCTATAGCGAGATCCGTTTTTCTCATTCCCAGATCTCCCACCCAATGAGATCTTGCAAACACCTCCTCCGAGGAATCGCAACATTTCCCGCCTCGAAAACACATGTCCGCGCCTTGCTGCGCCGATGCGAGACCGCCAGTGGAACCCCTGCGAAGGGTAAAACGCAAGGAAGTATCGAACGACAGGATTGCCTTGGTGGGGATGGGGGCTGTCGGAGGTGTGGCAAGGACCTGGCCCTGAATAGAAAGGGAGGAAGTCTCGAGCAGGGCTGCTGTTGTTGCTGGGAGCGGCGCCAATGCTGAAGAGAGTCGGGCGCTAGTCCAGCGTAAAACCAAACGAAGTCTCGAGCGGGAACGCTGGTTTTGTCGGGACGGCGGCTTTCGGCGGCGAGGAAGAACACCGCCTTGAGTAAGAAAAGAGGAAGGAGGCATCGAGCGGGAGGCGTGGTTTTGTCGGGACGGGAACTGTCGGCGGCGAGGAACAGCACCGTCTTCGGGAAAAAGGGAGGAAACCTCGAGCGGGAGCGTTGTTCTTGCTGGGAGCGGCGCCAATTCAAAAGAGAGTAGGGCGCCAGTCCAGCGTAAAACGGAAGGAGTTCTCGGTCGGGAGCGCTGGTTTTGTCGGGGCGGCGGCTTTCGGCGGCGAGGAGGAACACCGCCCTGAGTAAGAAGGGAGGAAACCTCGAGCGGGAGCGTTGTTTTTGCTGGGTGCGGCGCCGATGAGAGAAAGACTAGCGCGCCAGTCCAAGGTAAAACGGGAGGAAGTCTCGAGCGGGAGCGCTGGTTTTGTTAGGACGGCGGCTTTCGGCGGCGAGCAAGAACACCAGCCCTGAGTAAACAAGGAGGAAGTCTCGAGCGGGAGTGTTGTTGTTGTTGTTGTTGGGGGGCCGGTTTTGGCGGTCCCTCGAGCGTCATTTTCAATGAAAATGTAGCCGGCGCCTCGGCGAGAGCGCCAGGGCGCTTGTAAGGGGTCCAACAATAATAATTGTTTAGTACTTAACATTCCACAACAACCACAACCACAACCACAACAACAACAACAACAATAACAATAACAAACGCACGATATCGAAACATGCACTGGGAATGAACGTCCAAGCGATGGCGAGGTTCCCCTAGTGACCCCCCTTCCCGGGCACCCTCGAGTCATGGAAAAAAACACGACGGAAGGTTTTTCTCGATTCTCGGTTTCCAGGGGCCCTTAACAGCCGTGGGACCGTCAAAAAACGACTCAGTATGAAAAGCCAGTCCTGTGGACTGGGTCGAGACCACGTGGGGTCGATGTTGTGAAAAAATCATGACGGTGGGGGTCATGGGTCCCCCCCCCGCCTCCCGCCCTCCCTCCCCTCTCCCCCCCTCGCAATCCGCGGCCCTAGCACCAGACCAGTTCTGGATCTCATGTCCACCACAAGAGGCGCCCGCCCCGAGCGCGCCGCACAACGGGGGTGCCCGTCAGCGAGGGGATTTCTCGGCGCCCGCGTGGTGGGCGACGGAACACCTGGGCGCCTGCGACAGGGAGCGCCCCCCACTCGAGAGAAAACGGCAGGGGAGAAGGGTTTTCGAATTCGCAAGGCGGGTTTTTGAATTCCAAATGCCAGTCTCCTGGCACTGGCGCGCCTGAGGGTGGCACGCCAGGTCTGCGAGGAAGCAGAGAGGAGAGAGCAGGAAGAGAATCGAAAGGCCGAGGCGACGGGCGCGCGACCAGGGGGTGAGTTGGTCTGACCTTCGGGCCATCAATCGAGCCTCCAGCGGCCGTTCGGGAAAGCTCGGGCACCCCTGGAACGCTGTCGGCGAGGCGAGCATACCAGGGGTCACGATGATTGACCCTTTTTTTTCTGCGAGATTATATCGCTGCTCGCCCCATGTGGTGATACCCCGCCCCCGCAGTGCGAGATCCCACCATGATCATACTAGGATTCCAGCCAGACCCCAATCGGATCCCCATGAGATCCTGAGAGGGTCGCAACATGAACCCAGTAAGATCCCAATCGGATGCTGACAGGGTTCAGAGAAGATCCCAGTAGGATCGGATCCCAGTAGGATCGGATCTCCCCCAAAATTATTTGATTAATTCGTCGTGGTGGTAACGATATCGCTCGGCGGCTCCCTAGCCCCTCAGGAATTATTGTATTACTTGTGAGTGCTACTGATATCGGAAGAGTCGATCATCGCCGCCTACGATTCTCCCGAGGCCGGAAGACCGCTGGGAACCGGCGACAACGTCCGAAAGTTTCGAGCGCGCGTGCAAGGATCGGCGCGGATGTTGCTTAGAACGGTTATCCGTAGATGCCAAGGTGGGGAATATCTTGCCCAACCTACCTAGTGTGTGGGTTACAAGTGCCCTCAGTGGCCCAGGAGGTTTGACGATCTGGGCCGAGTGGGTTTCGCCCACTTGGCGGAGGTATTGACCCTGCGAAGCTACTTGGGGCGTTTGCAGCCATATGTCTAAGCTAGGTTAGGCCAGATAATCCACCTGTAAGGTTTATCCAAAGGGCTCAGGCGACCCCTCCTCCTCCTCCTCCTCCTCCTCCTCCTCCTCCTCCTCCTCCTCCTCCTCCTTTACAATTACTCAATCTGAAAATACTCTCCCTCTTCCCCTGATGGCGTCCGGGTGATGGCCGCGTACCCTCCGCGTACTGTTTTTCTACACACAGAATGCCCGGGAAATCCCGGGAAACGACTCTCGCTGAGGCGCCGGCGTCATTTTTTCCCAAAATGCTGCTCTCGTTGAGGCGCCGGCCTCATTTCTGCTCCCGAATCGTTCCGAATCGTGCTCCCGCTGCAGCGTGGGCCTCATTTTCGGATCGGTGTTTGGCCTCCGTCGTTCAGGATGGCGTTCTCGCCCCAGCGCGGGCCTTTTTCTCGCGCGCCCATCCGCCCGCCACCACCGCGCCGCACCGCCACCACCACCACCACCACCACCACCACCACCACCACCACACCAGCACCACCAACACCACCACCACCAGCACCACCACCACCACCACACCACCACCACCACCATCACCACCACCACCACCACCACCACTACCACCACTACCACCACGACCACCACCACCACCACCACGACAACCACGCACACACGCACGCACGCACGCACGTGCACCACCACCCACTACGCACGCGCGCGCGGAGCCACAGGTCCGCTACGACACGCGTCCGCGGATGGAGAAAATCAGCGCCATGGTAAGGGATGGGAGGGAGGGGTAGGACGTCAGATATGACGCGAGCGCACCTAGCTTGTCCTTTTCCTCCTCGCCCTCCTCCCTCCTCCTCCTCCTCCTCCTCCTCCTCCTCCTCCTCCTCCTCCTCCTCCTCCTCCGCCCCGAGGGGGCTTCTTCCCTCGTACGGGAGGGGTCGGGACCCCAGGGCCCCCCTGGCGCAGGCGGGGAGCGCCGGGCCCGCGGGGCGAAAAGCCCCCGCGCGTTGGACGGCCCCCAAAGCGGGGTCTCCTTCCCGGGGGGGCCCCCGGCCACGCAGCCTCCCACGGGAGCCTGGCTACCCAGCCAGGTGTCCCCCGTGGGAGTCGTGGCTAGGGGGTCCGTCTTTCCCCGTCGTGTCGTCGCCGTCGTTGTCGTCGTCTGTCGTGTCGTGGCTGGTCCCTGGGGTGGGTGGTGTGGGTTTGGTCGGACTGGCCCCCCCCGTTCTGTCGGCTGCCGGGTGTTTCCGGCTGGGCCGTTTCCGGCCGACAAAACGCGGGGGGGGAGCTGGCCAGCCATCCCCATGCTGCCCGCTTGCGGGGGGCCCGCCGGCGCCGTGCGCCACCCGCGCCGCGAGCGCCCCGCGGCCGGCTGCGCCCGCGCGCGGGCGCCCGGCCGCGGCGGCGGCGGCTTTAGTGCCGTGCACTTTCCCTTCGAGGCTTTCCATTCCATTCCATTCCATTCCATTCCATTCCATTCCATTCCACTCCATTCCATTCCATTCCTCCACCTCCTCCTCTTCCTCCTCCTCCTCCTCCATCCCCATATCCTCCTCCCCTCCCCCTCTCCCTCCTCCTCCTCCTCCTCCTCCTCCTCCTCCTCCCTCCTCCTCCTCCTCCTCCCCCTCCTCCTCCTCCTCCTCCTCCTCCTCCTCCTCCTCCTCCTCCTCCTCCTCCTCCTCCTCCTCCTCCTCCTCCTCCTCCTCCTCCTCGGGTCGCCTACGGCCCCAGGGGAAACCATGCAAACCCACCTTGGCATCCACTGATAACCCCCCTGTCCCCTCAGCAACCCCCGCGCCGATCTCATCCCGGCGCCAGCGACCGCGGCTGTCGCAGACCAACCACAGTTGGGGGAGCTGTGGTCCTGTACCCCCCCAAGAGCCCCCTTGGTCTCGACGCCCCTCCCGAGGGGTTCGTCGATGCGACGGACTCCTCCTGCCAAAAGGGTAATTCAGGAACAAGGCTCGATGATCCTCAGGATCTGCGTTCTCCCAATGTGTGCCTGCCTTACCCTGTGCAGCTCCACCGATAGCGCGCAGCCTGCATCCCCCCCCCAGTTCCCCCCCTCGCTCGCCGCCAACAGGAGGGCGGGAACCAAGGGGCGAAGGCCCCCCCTCAGAGCGTGAAGCACTTCGAGGTGCGCCGGAGACGGGCTCGAGCACTCGCCGCTGTCGGTCCGTGCGCGCGGACTCCTGACGCCACGGCACCGCAGAGGCGATCTGCACGGGCGCTCGAGTCTGCCGGGGTCACGCGACCATGTCGTTGTCCGGCTGCAGGAGAGGGCGCGCGGGGGGAGCCGTTGGCGCTGACGCAGGTCCTGAGGATCATCGAAACGTTCCCCTTGGTTGCCTCGTCGCCGCCGTCGCCACCGCCCAGCCCTGGCGGCGGCGGCGCGGCCAGGCGCCTGCCGCCGCCGCGGGAGGCCGTCGCCGCCCCCCGCCGCCCGATCGCCCAGGCAGGGGCGGCAGGGACGAGCCCCAGAGCGGCAGCCCCAAACCGCAGCCCAAGATGACAGGCGCCGGCCCGCGGCCCCTGGCGGTCGGCGGTGCCGTCGGCGACAGGCGGCGGCGGCGGCCACGGCGGCGGGCTGCGGCGAGGAGTGCGGCCACAGGCGGCGAGGACGAAGAGGGGGAGGGAGGCGAGGGAGGGCGACGGGGGGGGGCGAGGACGAAGAAGGCGGGAGGGGGTGAGAGGGTGCGCGAGGGCGACGGGGGAGAGGAGGGCGGCAGGCCCATGTGGCACACTCCCGAGGGGCCTCGGGAGAGGTCGCGCGGCTGGCCGCGGGAGCGGCGGACTTGTGATATCGAAGGCGCCCTCAGGACACTCCGCGCAGTCCCCACGGCACGGTGGCTCGACTCGACTCGATTCGCGCACCGTCCAGCCATGAAGGTCGGCCCCGCTCAAGGGGGGAGCTTTGTGCCACAGCGGTGCGGTTGTCTCGCGCCGTGCGGCTCTTGAAGTTGGCTCTTCTTAGGGACACCCTGAGCGTGTGTTTCTACCGTTTTGCATGCTGGGCCCTCGGCAAGGTAACGAAAAACACGACGATTGTTTAAACATGCTTAGCTCCGTGACTGTCAGCGTTTTTGGGCCCATCGCAGCAATCATTATTTAAGCGTTTTTTGTTTTCAGGTCGAAGGTTGTTCGTTGTCTTCCCTGCTGTCTTCGCTCCCGCGAATTCATTTATGCCGCCATTCTGCTTCTCAGAGCTGAAAACGCAAGACACATGTACAACAGCAAGCCAAACAAACCCTTTAATACCGGCCCGAAACAAACCCAGAGGCCCGATGGCCCCAGGAGGGGCAATCGGCCATCTGGCCTGGAGGCTCGACGCCTCAGCCAGCACCGAGGGCAAGAGAAGAGCAAGCAGAACAATAAGAATGATAATAGAGATACAGGAAGGATTGCACGCCAGGAGAAGGAACTGAGGGCGTCGTAGACGGCAAAGTTAAACAATGCATCGAACTGACTTGAAAATGTAAGAAACGTTGCCAAAAACACAATAATGAGCTGGTGTTGTAAGCGTGCTTAGTTTTCCGGTTGGAACCTAAAAGCACTAAATGGTGTATTCCGGCACGCCGATTTTCAAACGGTAAAAGTTATCCCAGTGCGACCTTACCTAGGAGCTGGAGCTTCTAGGAAAGCAACATTAGTAGGAGCGGTAAACGCCGTCTTCCTCCTTTTCCTCATCGTCGTAGTTGTTGTGCTGCGCTATGCTATGCTATGCTATGCTATGCTATGCTGCGCGATGCTATGCTGGGCTAGGCTAGGCTAGGCTATCTATGCTAGGCTATGCTAGGCTATGCTGCGCTATGCTATGCTGCGCTATGCTATGCTATGCTAATGCTAATGCTAATGCTATGCTATGCTATGCTATGCTATGTTTGTGTTTTGCCTTCGCTTTTGCCTTCACGGTTGCCTTTGCTTTTGTTTTTGCTTGGCACCCAGGGAGCGCAACTGGGGGAACCGCGCGTTTGCGTTTACCTTTGCTGTGCCCGGCCCCGTTAAGCTAAGACAGTAAGAACCTTTCTAGGCAGAGCCTAGGTAGGGAAAAACGCTTTGGGTAGATTGTGAAGGCTTGACGGCCGGTGCCGCCGACCCTGAAAGACATCGACGACGACCAGGACGGGAAGGAGGAGGAGAAGGAGGAGGAGGTGGAGGCGGAGAGAAGGAGGAGGAGGAGGAGGAGGAGGAGGAGGAGGAGGAGAACGAGGAGGAAAAGGACCCCCTTGGGACTCCCCCCTGGGGAGAAGGACGAGAGGAGGACCGGCGTGGGACAGGGGAGGGGAGGGGGAGGAGGAGCCCCATGGACGGATGCGTATCTGACTCCCCTCCCCCTTCCTCTGGGACTCCTCCCCACCTGGGGAGGAAGGACCCGAAGAGGACCGGCGCGCCGGAGAAGGAACGGCGTGGGAGAGGAGGACCCCCAAAGGCGATGCGAATCTGACCCCCCCCCGGGCCCTCCCCCACCCCCCGCCGGGGAAGGGACAAAATGCTCACTTTTGACGTAATGAGGACGTGGATGGAAGTGCTTCAAGCTGCGAGCCCGTTCCCCGAACGAGGAAGGGTGCTCTCTCTCTCTCTCTCTCCCCCGACGGGAGAGGATGATGGGAAGGAGCGGCCGAGAGAAGGCTCCCCGTCAACGGGACGGACGGACCCCACACACGCCGACAAGGTCGGCTGATTCAAGAATAACCAAGTTCTTGACACCACCTTCCAAGGAAGACCGCGGCAACGACGACGACCACGGCGTTGACGGCAGCACCGACGACGGTACGTCGACGGCGTTGCAACGAGGAGGAAAAGAAGGAGGACGGGCACCCCCAATCAAATGGCCTCCCCGCAGTACGTAGGCGATCATAATGCCAGCTTGTGATTAACAACTGGCCGGACCCTCCCCCCGGGGCTGATGAAATAGACCCCGCGGGGTGCGATATTTGTTTTAAATCACGCGCGCCAGGGAAAAGGAGGAGAAGGAGGATGACGAGGAAGAGAAGGAAGAGAGGGAGGAGAAGGAGGAGGAGGAGGAGAAGGAGAAGGAGAAGGATGAAGAGGAGGAAGAGGAGGAAGAGGAGGAGGACGAGGAGGAGGAGGAGGAGGAGGAAGAAGAGGAGGAGGAGAAGGAGGCAGGGCACAGGCAGGGCGGGGAACGGCGGCGACGACAGCGGCAGAGGGGGGGGAGGAGGACTACCCGCATTGTTCGGGTCGGACGAAAGGCTGGGGAAGAAAAGGGGAGGTTGCAAAGCCTGTTGCGCGCAGGTGGTTTCGGTCGCCCCGCCGACGGGCCAGTCCTCGACGCATGGCCGCTATCGGCGCCAGGAAGCGCTTGGAAAATCGGCGATGTGAGCTGCTTGGCCAATCCCCCCTTGGCTGCGCTCCACTTTCGTCTAGCCCGCCTTGCCCGCAAACCCGCATCGGTTCGACAGAAAGAGGGGCACCCTGGCTCGCCCTTGCCTCCAAACACCCCCCCCCTTGCCCCTCGTTGGCGGCTGGGCGTCGGCGCTAATCGCCGGCGCCGCCCCGTCGATTTTCAATCTGGCGGGCACCACCCCGCGATTCGCCCGAACAGGGGAACTGTTTGTTTCAACGCGCGCCCCCAACGGATTTGTTAATCACAAGCTGACACGAATGAGCCTTTTAGGCAAGTAGGAGCACGTTGATCAACACACGCAGGCACATTTGGCAGAGGTCAAGAACGCTTCCATTGCCTACAACAGTGATGGGTCCTGTTCTGGCCCTGGAGAACCCGAGGGACCTCGCAGCCATTGCCACGAAGTTCGAACCTATCTTAATTTGGATGCCGCCGAGAAAGATGCACGGCCCCGACGGCATGATCGGAGATTTGTGCAGGGCTGCCAATCGAGCCTTCGCACGCTTAGCGGCCCCCCTCTTGGGAGCAACAACTCTCATTGCCACCGAGGAGCCGATAGGCTACGGGGGATTTGCGAATCCAAGATTCGTAGCGGAGCATCCTTCTCAGCAGCACACTCAGCAAGTGCAACCATCGCTTCCCCAAGTAATTCGTATTCGAATTTGTTTGTGCGGCGTTCCAACAGGAGCAATCGGGGGGTTGCCGGGAAAAGGGGTTGACATGGTTGTGCACACGCTCCGCACGCTTCAAGCAGCAATTTCGCACTTTAAGAAGTCAACGGCGTTTTTGCGTTGTGATGCCAGGCTGGTTTTCTACGTCCTTATCCGTCCGTATGTCATGACCCTACCCATGCGCACCGATGATCGTTTTTTGCCAATGGCCTATGCGACCATTGCTAATGGAGGCGGCCAAACTGTTGGTACAACAACGATTCGTTTTTTATCGACAGGGTTGGTTCCGCCCACTTCGCGGTGATACAGAAGGCCCAAACAGGAGGCATTTGGAAACTCGCGCACGCGCTCGCTTATGCAGGGCCGAAGCCAGCACGCGCCTTGGTGCCATCATGGCCACGGACGCATTTAATATCGCCCACTCTTTTGTGCATCGGATCTCGGCGAACTCTTGCTCATCTTGGGTCTGGGATGGGATTCAGGGTATGGCGGCATCCAGCATCATTGTTTCCAGGAGGCGGATCTTGTCAAAATGCGTGCCGCCGTTTGTTTTGTTGACGGCACCACGGCGACACACCAAGCCAGAAATGACATTTGAGAGGATCATGCTTGCGGAGACGTTTTATGCTGTTGTTTGCAAGCATGGGCCCATTGTAAACTTTCAAACAATCGCCCTCCTGAATTTCAGAGGCCCCAGGGCCCAAAAAGCGCGAGCTGCCTTGGACGCGAAACCTCTCTTGCACAGTATAAGTTCAGCATTCGGGTCGCTCGGTCGCACAAGGTTCTGGGCGCGAGGATCATGGATACAGCTTCCATGGCAGAGGAAGTAGTAGCACGATGCGGCGCCACGCGCGCGGCGTTGAAGCCCATCGACAGCGCCATTGCCACCCCGAGCTACCCCGAGCTTTCTGACGCCTCCAAGGTAATACACGCTGAGACCCTTGCCTCCACTCACCTTGTTTACGCTGCCGATACCTTGACCCCTTTTGAACCGCAGCTTGAGGGCAAAGATCAGCACGGCGCACGCGCATATATATATATATATATATATATATATATATATACATATATACATATATATATATATCGCACCGCCTTTGACGTTGGTGACGCTAACTCTGCGGTTCCACGTGTGGCGCACATTGATATCCTCGCGCGCGCAGAGCGTCTGCCATGGCACGAAGTTGTCACTGTGGCCATGTTAAGATACCTCGCTCGTTTTCTCCAACAGGGGCACCCAGCTTTGCATGTCTTCGTCGATGTCGTCTGGCATTCGGAGGACAAGTGGACGGCCTTGCTAAAAGCCGATTTTTGGTGGTTGAGTAGCCACCAGGACACCCAGGGCCCCAGTAGGGATTGGCTTCAGAAGGCCCGCGCGGCACTTCGAGCCTTTTCAGCGGCCGTAGCGATTGTTACGGTGAAGACCAAGCGCCATTGGAAGGGCCATTCCCTCATGCTGCAATGGCAAAGGCGCATTGCATCATATCTGGACGATACGGAGCTCCAGGCACAGTTCGCACGCGTGCGGCGCACGTTTGCGACGTCTCCTGACCCGTTACGGAAAGAACGGGTACAATGCCCAACAGCGGATCTGGTTCATTTTGAACAGGACTCGCTGTCCACGCCGCCGCGGCCTGTGTTCATTCGAGACAGAAGGCCGCCTGCCCAACAGCGGCCGCTGCTGGTTTGGGACAACATTTGTTGTTGGGCATTGTACCCATTCTTTCCGTACCCATGTCGGGCGTCCAAAGTGTGCCTTGCGTGCGGGGGCGGTTGTGTCTGAGGCGCGGCAACAGCATGGCCACGCGCGTGCCGATCACGCCGCCCCTCCCCCCCGACATCCCCACTGAGCTCAGCTGCTGTGTTTTCCCCTCCTGCCCCGCACGATGCCGAGCTCCAGATGGCACGCGATCGTGTGGGCCCCGATCGATACCGTCAAGCCTGAGCGCCCCTGCCTGATGGTGCTGCCCATCCCGTGATGGCCCGTCTCCCTGAAGGTCTGGTTCTCCAGACGCTGTGCCCACAGCTCGGGGTGCCTGCTTCTTGAATTCAAAAGATTTGCTTTTGAATTCATAAAGCCAGTTTTTGAGTTCGAGAAATTGTTTTCTGAATTCAAAACCAAGTTTTTATTCAAAAACCACGCTGCCGTGGATCCCCTCCCCTCCCCGCCCCCGGCTTCTGCAAGACACGGTGCTCGAGGCGGGCAAGAGCGAGGACTCTTGCCCGGTCCCGTTATTCGCTCGCCTTTTTCCCAGAGTGTGAGCCACGGACCCAGGCCTCAGGGAGCGAGCGAGGAGGATGGGGACGGGAAAGAGGGCGAGGGACGGAGGACAGGAACGGACGGCGAAGAGGGTGGGGAGAGCGAGGCCGACGGGCACGAAGGCGAGGATGCCGAGGGGGACGAGCTGGAGCACAGGGGAGATACCGATGAAGTCCAGCATCCCCTCCTCGCGCCCCTCGCGTCCTGAACCCCCCCCCATCTATGGGTGCGACGATGGCACCAGGCCGATGGCCTCGTCGGCGGCGGCGGCCCAGATGACGACGCCGACGAACACGACGACGATCGCTGCCACGGCCACGACCAAGACGACGTCCACAACGACCACGTCGGCGACGATGACGTCCACAACGACCACGTCGGCGACGACGACGACGACGACGATCGGCGACGACGACGACGACGACGACGACGACGACGACGACGACGACGACGACGACGACGACGACGACGACGGCGACGACGACGACGACGACGACGACTACGACGGCGGCGACGGCGGCGGCGGCGGGTGGAGGCGGAGGCGACGACGACAACGGCGGCAACTGCGACGGCGACGTCGACGACGCCGTCGACGACGACCACGACGACAACCGCGGGCGGCTGCGGCGGCACGGCTTCGGTGGCACGGCTGCAGGGACCCCCCTGACAGGCAACGCCGACCGCGACCTGCTGGGGTGAACGCGGCAGCCCGGGCGCGGGCAGCCCAGCTCGCCCTTCCTCCTCGTCGCCGCCCTCTTCGCCGTGCTCCTCGGCCCTCGTCCTCTCGGGTCCTCGTCCTCCTCGTCTACTCGCCCGTCGTCTTCGTCCGCCTCGTTGTGCTCACCCTTGTCGTCCTCGGCTTCGTGCTCCAGCGTCGGTGCCGCCGATCGTGCCGCCGATGCGGCACCTGGGCTGTGCGGTCGTGCTGAATATTGCCGAGCATGTCTCGGCCTCGAGTTTCACCTTGTTCCTGGTTCTGGTCGTCGTCGTCGCCCCCCTCCTCGTCTGCGCCACCTCCTGGAGAAGGGCGGGGCTGGAAGAGAGAGAGAAGGAGACGGAGGAGGAGGAATAGGACGAGGAGTGGGGGCAATGAGGGAGTTGTTGTCTGCTGCGGACCGCTGCGGGATCGAGCTCCCAAAGAGATTGCCAAGCAGGTGAAGAAATGTGCAAGTTGTAAATCGGTTGCTGAGTTGACAGTGCTCCCCCAGTCAAGGCATTTTTTCTTGAGGGGGGGCTTTACTTGTCTGAGCCGCCCCATGTTTCACACTTACATGCTGTAAGGGCTGCAGGGCCATTCAGAGCGACTTGGCACCCCTTGCGCTAATCGGGAAGCTGAGATTCGGCCCAGCATCCGCAAAACCCACAGAAAGTAGATGTGCCGTTGCTCCAGGCGGCGTGGTTGTCGTGCACTTTGCACCCATGGACGAAGACTGGGGAGGCAGCTGCCGCGGCGGGTCGGCCAGTTCAAGCCTACACCATAGGTCTTCATCGATTGGTGCGTTGCCAACCTGTGAGCCCACCGCACCGCTCGGCGCCCTCTGGCTCGCGTCCGACGCTCCCGCGTGGGAGGCGCAGACGGCAAGCGGGCCGCACACTGCGAACGAACCGAGCGAGCACAGCGAGGGAAGGGAAGGGGAGGGGGGCAGCCGGGAGGGAGGAGGTCTGGGCAGGGAGGGGGGGTGAGGACGAGCTGGGCGCGCTCGCGCCACGTCCGACATCTGACCCTCCTGCCCATCCTGAGGAGCAGGAGGGCGAAGGAGGCAGGAGGAGCAGCGGAAGGCAGAGGAGGGGAAACGAGGGGGGCGGCAGCGAGGAGGAAGGAGCCGCATCCAGAAGTGTGGCTCGCGCTGGGGTTGAGAGCGCCAGGCTGGACGATGCGAGCAGAGCACCAGTCTTGGAATGCAGCCAAGTCTGCAGCGGGAGGACCACTTCTGAAGGGCCGATACAGTCGGGGTGCTGAAGAAGAAACCCTTTTCGTCGGGGAGGGGGTCCGTGTTCCTTGATTGGTTTACGGTTTGCTTCAGGTTGTCCTTTGGGTTCCGATAGGAAGTCGAAGTTCAGCTTGTGGAAAAAGAGGCATCGTTCCTATTTAGGGCTCCTCATGTCAACGCCCCGACTGGATTGTTCCGACTGAGCAGAACCAGATTGTGACCACCGTGTTAACAACCTTGTGTGCGTGTGGCACGAGCAGTACCCAGCAGAGGCGACGACACCACCGCACTGCACCAGGGAATTGAGGGGAAGTAGTGTCTAGGCTGAGCACGTTGTGGACGTGGGGGGGTATGACCCTTCTCCGCCTCCTCCTCCTCATCAGGACGTCGCCCGGCGGCAGGGCCGGCGGTCTTGCACACTCTCACGTCGGACCCTTACCAAGGTCAGTCCTCTTTGAGGCGCTGGCTGGCGGCAGTGCGAGCCATTGTGCGCCCACAGACTATGCACGCCAACCCCCGTCGCGAGGCTGTTGCCTCAAGGACGTCGCCTGGCGGCAAGGCCGGCGGTCTTGCACATGTGTAACGTGGCGCAGCAGACTACCAAGGTTGTCTCTTTTTGCACACTGGCGGGCAGCAGAGCCAGATTCCGTGCATCCAAGAACACAACTTGGCGAGAAGTCTGGCGGTCCTGAATTTTCCCACGCCGAACTGCTTCCAAGGTTCGTCTCCTTTTGGAGGCAGGCTGGTGGCAATGCCAGCCCGACGGCAAGGCCGGCGGTCCTGCACGTTCGCATGTCTCTTAGCTTGGCGGCAAGGCCGGCGGCCTTGCACGCTTACAATGGCCTGTTACTCATCGTCGTCTCCGTTGGGCGCTGCCAGGCGGCAGTCCCAACTTGCGTGCATCAGCAGATCTTGCCCGCTTGCCCCCGTCGCGAGGCAAATGCCTCACGGACGTTGCTTGGCGGCAAAGCCGGCGGCCCTGCACACTCACGTCGAACCGCCATCAATGTTCGTCTCCTGTTGGACGCTCTCTGGCGGCAGTGCCCGCTTGGCCCCCGTCGCGAGGCTATTGCCCCAAGGACGTCGCCAGGCGGCAAGGCCAGCGGTCCTGCACACTCACGTCGAACCGCTCATTACCAAGATTCGTACCCTTTTGGACACCGGCGGGCGGCAGTCCTGGATATCGTGCGTCCGCAGATTTTGCGATTTTGCCTTCGTCGCGAGGCTGTTGCGTCAAGGACACAGCCGCGCGACAAGGCCGGCCGTCCTGCACTGCACATCTCCCTGGTTTTCACACTTCGGTTGGAAGGTCTTGGACCCCGAGCGGGTTCCGGGAGGCCCCCGAACAGATGTTCGGATGGCCGTGGTCATCAGAGAATATTTTCGGGGTTCTCTTGAGGGCGTCTTTCTTGAGGCCCCTGGGGGGGCCTGTCGGTGTCTTGTTCGGGGCGTTTTGTTGGCCCCGTGCGGACTCCAAGGTGCCCCCGATGAGATGTTGAGATGGCCATGGTCATCTGCATATCTTTGGGGGGCCCTCTTGAGGTCCCCTTGGGGTCCGTGGGGGGGGCCTCTTGGAGCTCGCTCGGGGCCGCATACGACGACGGGCGACCAGACTGTTGACGCAGGTCCGAACTACGTTCGCGGCTGAGGTGTTGGCACGTGGGGGTCACGGGACAAATTCGAGCCCGAATCCCAGGCCAACCATTTTTTAGTTACACCGGCCTATCCGTAGAAAAGGGGGTGCTCGATTCGAGCCGCATTCCAAGACCCATTTTTGGGTGCACAGGGCCACCCGTAGTGACAAGAGTGCTCGATTCGAACCAAAATCCCTGCTTCATTTCCCGTCTCAAGGGCAGGATTTGGTACGCCCCGTTTCTTGGGATGTTTTAACCCATGCATGCTGCCCGTGGCACCACACTCGTACTTCTTCTCCCGTGTTATCGCGTCTCGGGGTTATGGAGGAGTGGGCCGGGTACGACCCTGCGTTTACAATCCTCAATCGGTGTTTTTGTTTTCTCGGGGGGGGGGGGGTCGATACCTATAGTCAGCTCAGCACCCCCATCAGCACCGCGGCGTTGTTAACTTGGGGACCAGGCGTACCCCGTTGAGCATCTGTCGCTCGCGTACGCAAGCGCTCTCAGAGTTCTGTCGCATGTGTGTCCTCCACTCATCCCATGCACCTATTTTGAAGGCCTTACGGCCGGTGCCGCCGACCCTGAATGGCGACAACGACGACGACGACGACGACGACGACGACGACGACGACGACGACCGCTCTCGGGGGCCTCTTGGGGGTACTGTCGGCCCAGATTAGTAGGTCGACCCTGCCAAATCAAGGGTAGCCTTGTGTCCTGTGTCTCGCGACCCATGCTTCCTACATTCCTGTGGCAATGTGGCCCTCGGAAGGGTCTTGTGTCCTCTCGCGTGTCCTGTCCAATCGAGTCCGATTGTAGTTTGGGGGCTTGTTGGGAAGCTCTTGGGGGCCGCTTGGAAGCCTCGTGGGGGCCTCTTGGGGCTTCCTGGGGGTCTCATGGGGGCGTCTTAGGGACCTCTGGGGGCCTCCTGAGAGCTTCTCAGGCCGAGGGCTCGAAATGTCCGTTCGGGTCCCCCGTCTGGGCTCCTCCTTTGAGCCGTCTTGGAGGCCTCTTCGGCTGTCTCGTAGGCCTCTTGGTCTGTCTTGGGGCCCTCTTGGGTCGTTTTGGGGCTCTCTTGGAGGACTCTTGGGCTATCTTGGGTGGTCTTGGAGGCTTCTTGGCCTGTCTTGGAGCGTCGGGAAGCTGACAAGGCGAGAATGTCGCAATCTTCCAAAAATTCATTAGACATCCATGATGTTTGCCCCTTGGGACCCTCTTGGAAGTCCTCTTGGAAGCCTCTTGGGGCGTTATGGAAACCTTTTGAGCCGTCTGGAGGCTACGTTGGCGACTTGGACCGATACTTCGGCGATCCGTCGAGGACTGTTATCTGCCCCAGAACACCCCCGGGACCCCTCCCCCGGGACCCCCCCTGGGACCCCCCCCCCGGGGACCCCGCCCCTCCCTGCGGGGAAGGGATCAAAGGGAAGGGGCTTCCCTTCGACTCAACTACAATGTTGCTGAATTTCGCTGTGGCTGGCGCGCTCGAGGAGGAGAACCCGGTGAAAGTGGGGGGAACGGCGACGGGCCTAGGGATAATTGGGGAAGCGAGCGGCGAAGGCGACGACGACGCCTCTTTCACACGCCGACAGGGTCGGCGGATTTGCTCAGCCTTTTTCAGCGCGAGGGTAGGACATGAGGAAGTCACAGCGTCTCAATTGCAATCGCCTCCGGCGGGTGCCCTGAACCTCCAACTCCTCTGGCGCGTCAGCCAAGCATTGAGCAACGAGAATATCACGAAGTTTGGCGCCACCCCGGTATTCCGAGGATGAGCTGGCGCACCCAAACATTGTCCTGTCAACGAGTCCGGAACTCGAGGCGGGAATGCAGGCTTTTGTCCCGGTTCGCCACGTTGCTCCGCTGCTGGCGTGCTGGGGCGTGGTGAGGTGAGGAAACGTTCTCGTCTCACATGTAACCGCCGCCGGCGGGTGCAGAGACCCTTGCGGGCCGCCGCCAGTGGCCTACCGAGGCCTGTGTTTCCCCCCGTGGACATCGGCAGCAAGGTGGCGAGCCGCCCATGTCAACCTTCGGGTGGTCACCCGTCCTGCCTGCGCATGGCCGATTCGTGTCAGCCCTCGGGTGGTACGCCTGCGGTGCGGCAGCCCCCCCCCCCTGGCGACCCCTCGGGTGGCGTCCC